TAAATAAATGTATGTATTCGACTATAATTCCCCACATTTTTTGTTAATAATTCCGCTCTTTTATGCCCGCAAATAAATGTGCAATGAAAAGTCAAAACAACTTTGTGTTTGCCAACAATGCAAACAAATTCTGCATTTATTGGCAAATTGAATTTCTTTCCAGTTCATTGATTTGTTTCTATGGAATTAAGCACACAGCATGAAACTATTTACTTATTCACAATGCTTTATTGCATATTATTCTGTTATATGCCTAAAAATATGCACATAAATATATCCGAAGCTGCTGCGGCACACAGTTTTGCATCGCATTTTCGGTAATTGATACACAAATTATTATTTTAAGCAATTATGAAAAAGTAAACAAATGATGCATGCAGCCATACCAGAAAACCAGCTAAATGTTTTGTAGCCATCCAAAATGTATGCAATTATAAAATATGCAAACAAAATTTAAACAAAAAGCCATTGTTAATTAGAGAATTCGGGTTTATTCAATAATTTGCTGCCTGTTGCTATTGATATTGGCCGATTGAATGCTAATTTAGACATACATACACATGTATGCTCAACATTTTGTGGTGAATAACTCATAAATAATTTTTTTCGTTGATCCTAAATGTATGCAGCGGTTATTTAATTCTCGCCACAACATGAAAAGTTATGCAGTTGTGAAAAAATATTATTATTAAATACAGCGCTTTTAATGGCAAGGCAGTGAAATATCTAAATTAACCCGTTGTGATATTTTTTCACGCCTAAAAGTATGCCACAAAAAAATTTTAAATTTTAAATTTATTGCTGAACAAAGCAGCGCTGCAGGCTTAAAATAATGAAGTGTAACGAGTTAGGAAGTACAATGCAAAATTAATGTAATTACTGCAATTTAAAGCGCCCACTTTCCCCTTTAAATCATTGACGTTTTCCTCTCCACCTTTTTGCTTCCCATGTGCCTTAAATTTCATCAGCGGAAGCAACAGTAAAATGCATTTCCAGTGCTCATAGCTTATCGCTCATCGCTTATCAGCTAACGGAAATGACTAAATCGAATTCAATGGCAATGCGAACAGGAAGCATATTGCGGTGTCAAGTGAAAAGGCGTGGAAGTAAAACGTATGTAGATGCGCCCGCGGGCGTTTACCAATATGCGATTGCAATAACTAGATAAGGCACTGAAAGGTTGAACGCTCGCTTTTGTGAAGCAGATACTTAAGTGCATTTGAGTATGTCTTAAGTACTACTCACCACAATTTTCTATTAAAGCGTTAAATATTTTATTAAATAGGCGAATTGTGCGCAAAAAAGTATACAATATGAGCCAATTATTTCATTCGGCTTTTTAGAAAATGTATCTATGCAATTCACAAACGCCTTTTGAATTAATTTATTGAAGTCGCAGCAGTCTTTGCCTCTCTCCCTCTCTCTTTGGATTTGTTATGGTGCCAGAAACGTTTCTTATTCATGGTTTCTTTGCAGCCCTCAAAACCAGAATTTTGGATTTACAATGACGCTGGTGCTTGTTAGCTATTAGCGCTTCTTCCCCGATTATCAATTTCACATGCATGCATAAATCTGGTTCTCTCGGAATGGGTTTTCTATTCTCATTTTCATGTGCAACAGCTGTCGAACGACCAATGCCCTTTCACATCTGCTTAGCGAGATTGCATACTTATCCTACAACAACTACATTGTGCTACGCATCTCGTTGACCTCATTCACATTGGAGACGCCTCCTAATGGGCCACTTTAACCCACTTAATGGCGTATACGACACGGCGAACGACCGCTGAATCGCAAGGCTCACACATTTGCAGCGAGTTACTGTTAGCTAGCAGTGCAAGTGGCAGTAGTAACAAATATACTTACAAATATGTCATATGATACAGGGTTAACCATATACATACATACGTAGTAGACCACACACGCAACAACGGTAATGAATGTAATTGGGATTGTTATGCAGCCTAACGCCGCAGCAGTCAAAGGTAGCTCACCAAGCAGAATATTATAAATTAGTTTGCTGCTGTTAGTGAAATATGCACCTTTGTGCCACTTACATGTGTATACATATATGTATATATAAGCGGCGCGCATTTGGCGACCTTTTGTTTCGAATTTCCACAAAAAAAATCAAAATGTTAGTAAGTGTTCCAAATGCGGTTGTGTCCGCTACCTCTGGCGCTGGAGGCACACTAATACTTGCATGTAATTTAGGTAGTTTATTAGCGCAATGCTCGCGGCTACATGAATTATGCATTAAATTAGTTTAAAGTGTGGCTGTTGATATAATTATTTTGGTGTTTAATGGCTTTTGTGTGATGTCGTTTATTTTAATGCGAAAATTGTCACTTCTAGCGGTTAAGGATATTTAGCGACACCCTGATGTTTACGTATATTACTAGCTTTACACAAATATACGCATATATGTATACGGTTAAATAATACTTTAGCAATTATTGTAAAGAATTTTCGCGAAAAAATTTTTTGTTTTCTTTCAACAGCAAAAATATTATCCCAGGAGTAACTCATCGTTGGAAAATAAAAACTAGAGATAATTTTTTTTTCAATTTAAGGACTGGGCATACATTTTTAGTCATTTAAAAAAGTGGACATAAGTTTTATGTCATGACAAAAATTTTATATCAAGACATAAATTGTATGTCGGAACATAAATGACCATAATTTAATGGTATGCGTTTAAATGAGTAAATGTGTCAGTTTCTTAAATGACTAAAAATTATGTCCAACTTGTGAAGTATAAAAAATTTATGTACAGTTTTTGATTTACTAAAAATGTATGCCCCGCTTTCACGTTCAAGCTTCCATTGATACATACTCACAAAATATTTGCTCGTATCTAGTAAACTTTTTATAGAGCCTACAATTCAGAAAAAAAGTTTCACAAGCGCCTTTTCTTACAACCAAGTATGTACTTCGTTTCTTTGTTACTGTCGTTTACTTATGTCAGAATAAAATTTATTGGATAGTATTTTTTAAAAATAGATATTACTTTCCCACAAATTTAAGATAGATACTCAAGCTGCTAGCACTTACTCTTACTTTTTTTTAACATTTTCGTATGCAAATTTTTTTTACATAAATTTCGTTGCCACTTAAGTTTTACTACTCACTGTTCTTTTTATATAGTAAAATTTCGAATTGATCTTGTTGCTGATTCTCCAACGTGTATTCCAGTCGCGCGACCGTTTCCTTGTCTGTCAGCTCGCCATACATGAAGCCGCATCTGAAAGGACAAAAAAAAGTTGTAAGAGAGAAAGACTATACCTTTTTTAATATTAATTATTTTTTCTTTCTAATGAGTTCCAGGCTTGCTGATTTTTACCATCTTTGAAAGATTAAAATTATAATTTATCCCAAAAAAATTCTAATCATATAAATGTTCCCCATTTTTAGTTAAAGAATGTGAAACACCGAGGTTTAAAAATAAGACTGAGAGTGGGATTATGGCAGTTGATAAGTCAAATTCAACTAATGGCAATCTCATAAACTACCACCTTCCTGTGCTTGTAAGGCATGTGGATCGGAGTCCTGTGAGCTTGAATAAAAAATTTGATCTACATGCATGTTAAAGAAATTACATCATAAGCCGCTTGAGAAGTGCACAATTGTAATAAGTAAGTTGTAAGCATTCTCATCTCAGAACTTCGTTTAGATTCCGACAGAGCATGGTACTAGACTTAGAATCTTTAAAGCCGAGATTAGAAAAGCGAAGGTGTCTTCATCGATGAACTTCTACGTGTAGATGAAGACCAGCCTTAAGTCCTCGAAACATAGACTCATTCGCGCTAGGAACCCTGTCCTCCTAGATTATCTAAATGAAGATGTGAAAGTTGGGGAATAAGCGGCGATGAGTCACTCAAACTACTCTCTTCGAGGCTCATATTTGAATAGCTGCAGGTGTGGTGTCGTGTGACTGGCTAGCCCTCTCTGAATTATACTTTTTATCTATACGTAATTCCATCTATTTATAGCCATATAAGCTCGTCATTGTTCTTTGATTTTATGATTGCATTGAGGAGCAATGCCAAAATGAATGAAAACATCAACACAGAAGCAAAAAGAGAAACGAGCACACGCCAAATAAATGAATTCGATAAACAAAAGCGAAAATCGGCGAAGGCATACCGACTATTTCGAAGAGGGTGAAAGGGACAGAGCAGTGCTTACAGAAAATCAAACACAAAACTCAATAAAATAAACAGAAATGGGCAGAAATGACACAAATCCTTGTTTGCGAACGAGGGTTGCAGAATAAAAAGGATTTGAAAGGCGCTGTGGCGGCGATGGCACAAAGAAAACATGGAAAGTAAATAGTAAAAGTGCGCTTACTAGGGCAGTGGCACGAAGCTTGTTGTGCCACAAAACAGATATAAGACAAAAGTGTGGAGGAGGAAGGTGAACCTGATTGGTAACGGGGTATTTGCTTGCGTACGGTTTCGATAGCTTTAATGTAGAAGGCAGGATTGGTTCGTTGGTTGGCTGGCTGTTAGTTCGACACGCAACTGATTGTTAGTTTTAGTTTAGGTGACTGATAAAATTTTCCATATAAGTATACAGTGAGAGTGTGGGAAATTCAGGTAAATTTGAAGAGCGTAAATGGCTTGGTGGTAAAATGTTTAATTCGCGCTCAACTTTTGCTACTTTCTTTAAAGTTTTTTTCACACTCACAGCCTTGGGGATTTCGAAAACATACGTAAGCGTATGTGTGTGTGTAAAAGCCATCAGAATCAACCGCTACACATTGAAAATATATATAGAAAACCAATGTTAGCCAAACAGCGGCAAAGAAAGCAAACAAAATTTGACACAGCAACAACAAAAACAACAGCAAAAGCACACCGCAATTCTCAACCACCGAACGCAGCCGCAACCGCAGTGTGAGAGCGAGTGACAATAGCAACACCCGCAGAGCCAATAACAGCAAAAACAATAATAACAACAATAACAAAAACAATTGAATAATAACATCAACAGCAGCCACTAAGCCGCTTTGCTGTGGAGCAACAAAAATAAAAGGAATATTAAAAACAAACAACAATTGACTTGCGACTTGCAATATGTGTGCTGGCAAGCAGACAATGCAACGTATACACACACACACTCATTCACATGGCCTACGTTATAAACTTGCAACAACATTGTCTATTTTTAGGCGCTCGCAATCGAATGCTGCTTTGATTTTATTTTAGTTGATAGTTTTGTCTAGTTTTGCGTTTACCCTCAGCGGTCCCCTCTGTAGAGAAGAGGAAAGCTCATGACTTATAAAAGATAACATTGTTTACGTGGTTTGTCATGGTTGGAAGAGTGTTAGAGTGGAAGAGCTTGGCAGGCAAAGCGGAAAATGATTTAAATTGGGTTAATTGTGATTTCAAACTTTTTGATTTTAAAATCTTTGCGATTTTATTTAAATATCTGTTTGTTGTTACTGGCTATAGGCTTTGGTCATTGAAAAACTTTGCAAAAGCTTTTGTTAAATAAAAAAAAATAAGAATATATTTTTGATAATTTTAAAATTTAACATACATTTTTGGCAATATGAAAACTGGACCAACTTAAAAACTGGACATAAATCATTACGGTAAAAGGGCATGCATTTTTGGTAAAGGACAGAACATAAATTTTTGGTGTTCTGAAAGCTCATCATACAATTTGGGTAACTTAAAAATATGACATAATTTTAGGTAATTTGAAACCATTGCATACATTTTTGGTTTAAAAAACGGTTTAAAAACTCGATAAAAGTTGTTTGTCCCTCGCAACAGAAGCTAGCCCCACGTTACCCTTTGAGCGGTTAATGCAAAAGCTAGCTCGTCTTACCAAAGTGGTAAGTGCCAGAATGCCTTTAGCCAGTACCGCCAGTATTGAGCTCACCATACAGCGAACAGCGTCTTGCGTGCCTGCTGCGGTTGATCACTGCACTGGATGAGCTGTGCTATGGCCAATGGCTTCAACGCCGCTATAAAGTTACCTGCCAAGAAGGACGTACCGCTTCTAGAATTCTTCGTCGTCAGGTACACTAACAGCTTAGGAATAATGGGGTCTCGAAAGAGGACTTCATGAAGGTAGAAGAGGGTATTCGGTAGACGCGGTCTGTTATTTAGAAAGATAGCAAACGATCGAGATATTATAAGAACAAATGAAAGCGAGCCCAAAATTAAAAATAATAATAATAATTAAGTGCTCGAAAAATTATTTTATTGTAGCATAAGGAGCAACGCCAAAAAAATATATAAAAGAAGAACAACATAAATAAGAGTAAATAGCCACGCGCTGAATAAATCAACTGTGTAGTAGGCCAAAAGGCAGAGTAAAGTGGCCAGATCGTAGCAAATAGCATCGCCGACACAACGCAAGCAAGGAGGCAACGCGCACCCAAGGATATTTAAAAATAACTTTGGTGAACCGCTGCAAAAGGAACGAAAACAAATTTGCAAACCCAAACCAACACACAAATCTCAGACAGGGGCAAGTAAAGTGCATGCGGCGGTTAGCTGTAGCTGGCAAGCAGCGGAGGTGGCTGGCTGGAGAGCTGAAAGCCAGGCAGCCAAGAAAAATGCAAAAACAACCCAGAAAATAGCGAAACGAAAGCCGCGGAAATCAACGCAGCAGTGAGTAGCAGCTATTGGCCTCTAAAAGCCAATTTACAGCTTAGGTAGCCGCCGCTGCCGCCGCCACAAGGCGAGGAAAAGCAGGAAATTTACGGCTTGAAATCAGCGAGCAAAAGTGTAAGGACGCAACCGAAAGGCTGTCATGTGGTTGCACAGATACATATTTGTGCCGGCATAAATGTGTAAGTATGGAAATGAGTGTGCGCGTACACTTGCGAAAGATGCGTTAAAAGGGTCCAACTGCTTGTTGACTATTTTTAGAAATTAACTGCTTGCGGCGATTGTAAACATTTGCCGCATGTTAACGGTAAATCAGGCGCTGTCACGCCGCTAATTACTCGGTGCGGTCGATGTGAGTTAAGGTGAGCTGAGTTGAGCTGAGCTGAGGTCCAAGGTAGCCCAGTTGGGTCAGGCAAGCAGGCACAGGTCAGCACGTTCATCTCGCTGGCAATGAGCAACGCGAGCAGCAAGCGTTTGAGGAACAGTGAGATTGGACGATGATGTGGGCCTGAGTCAAAGTGCATTGCCAATGTATAGCTCGCGGGTAAACAGGCAGTCGACGGAGCAGTTGTACACGTGCACTCCACACGCACTTCCATGCTCTTGCGTTGCACTAAGTGTAGGTGAATAAAGCAGCTGCTTTATTTGGCTGAAGTCTACAGGTTATTTTTAGACCTTGTGCTACATAATTTTAGATTGACGAAGATGAGTTGACTATTTTTCTTTGCTCGCTGAAATGCAAGTTTTCTCTACACTCGTACGCTAAACGATTTTCAAGGAAATGTATAGCTTAGCAATGTTTAGCTGCACAAAAGGCTCACGATATACCGCCAGCAGCTGCTTGCGTTTATACCTTCTTCTATTTAGAATTCTTTTTGTTTTCACTCGCTTTTATTAATACTGCTTTCCTTTACTCAGTTCTCATTTAGGCGCTTAAAACACCATTTGACCAGAAAGCACAGCCAAGTAGCGAAATTTAACAAACATTTTTCGTATTTACGTTCTGCGCAAAGGCACGTCGGTAAGGGTGGGAAAGATAGAAGGTAGAGTGCTTGAAATACATAGAAAAAAATTAAGGGAAAAGGTCAGGCCACAAGAATGTTTTTAGCGTGTTTTCAGCTGTTGCTCAAGCTCATAAATTAACAAATTAAAATAATTGGAAAACAAGTAATTAAAAAAATTAAAGACAAGCTTTCATTAGTGGTTGGTAAAAAAAATAAAACTCAAACACCTTAACGGTTTTATTTTCTGTGGAGTTATTTCTTTCCATTTAAGTATTATTTATACATTCTGAATATTAAACAAATCGGACCATAAATATGGGTTTTCCCAAATATCTCGACTCTAGCGCCATCTATCGTGCAACATTTTTGTGGCGTTATTCCCTTTCATTTTAGTAATATACGTTTTAAATATGAACCATATTGGGCCAATAACTATGAATTTTCTAAATATGTCGACAGCTGCGCCACCTAGTCGATTAATTTATCTTTCATAGCGCATTTTCATCGGGCTGAGCTTAGTCTAAAGTTTAAAGTCTTTAGCTCGTCGGGAAGTTGGTTTTGGACTTAAGCAAAATATTTCATAAGCGTTTTGGGAAGTGCATACAAGAGCTAACTCAGCATAACAGGGCAATTCTGGTTAAGATAGCAAAAGGTCTTTCGTAAGACAAATGATGGACAGCTGGTAAGATATTTCGAAAGACTTTTGTTATTCTAGTCTTAGAAAAAAAAGCTCTTTCACTCACCGTGGTGAAAAGCTTTTTTAAGGGGAAAGCACTTGTATCATTTAGCTCCGGTGATTGAAAGAGTCACAGTTGCTGAGTGGGCAAGGCAAAGACATGCCAATCGAGAAATCCGAGTTAGTTTTTTTTTTAATCTAAACATTTTTATTTAATTTTTCTGATTTTTGATTTTTAAGTTTTATGTAATTTTTAGAAACTTATTTTATGTATTTTTTTCTTTTTTCATTTTATTTCTTTTTTTATTTAATATTCTTGAATAACTGGTTATATTTTTAAATTCAATTTTATTTTTAAAAACTTATTTTATTTTATTTTTTTTAGTTTTTAAGTTAAATTTTCTTTTAATTTTCCAGATTTTATTGTGTAAAAGTGTATTCTTTTAAATTTCATTTACTATTTAGAAATTTCTTTTATTTATTTTCTCTTTTTTAAATTTTATTTGTTGTTATTTTGTTAAATGCCGGTTGCTCAATGTCTGATTAGCACTAGTCGGCGGTAGAAGCTCTGGTTAAATACAAGGACTGCTTTATCGATCACATGTTATATGCATGACGTCGAAAAAGTCGATAATGATGATTAACCGGCCAGTAGTGATAACCAGACATTGAACAATCGGCCCTAAAACCTCCTCGCTAGCAGATTTTTCGATTAGTCTTTCGAAAGACAGTAAAAACGCTTCAAGATAGTTGCCAGAATTGCCCTGTAAGTGTCATATTTTTAACGCTTTTGTCAAACAACTGACTTAACTTTTAAACTCTTCTGCAAAAATGACGTTCTTGTTAATCAAAGTGAGTGCGAGAAAGTCCTCTTTTTATTGTAGATATTGTATTAAAAGCTCTTAGGGTTAGTCACAATTTTTGCTGTACCAATTTTACTCTCTGTATCGGTTCACATTAGCTCTAATGTGCTGAACATTCTTTTAATTTTAGCCCCCAGGATTTTTTTTTTAGAATTCAGTAATTAAGTCGCCTATTACTTTTTATTTACCTCAACTGGTGGTTTCACAGAAAGCTTTTATGCATTTTATGCCTTTCGGAAAACAATTCTCATCAAGTGAACTGGGCAGTCAAATACCAGTGTTTATTTAGCACAGTGAATTGCAAATAATGCCAATAGGAATATAGCACACAGCGATTGAAAGCGAAAAGGGAAAATATGGAGCAGACTTCCAAGGCAATATGACGTCTACGGCGGAACTTCGACAAGGATATGAAGGTGAGACCAAGCGCAGGAAAAATGTAGGCGGCCAAAGGCAAAAAGTGGCAGACGTATCGCTGTCAAATGAAAAAGGCAATCTCTGCTTTACAAATCGAACTGTAACTGGGTCAGAGGCCAACAGACAGCTAAGCTGCATTCGATTTAAAAGCAAGGGTATAATATATTGGCCATCAGCGAATAGCACTTGTGTTCGCATGATTTCTTCATTTTCATTTGGAAACTTTTTCCCTGTGGCTGGTGTGAAGCAACAAAACAACTGTGTAAAAAAAAATAAATTTTTCCGCTTACACTTTTGCTTGCATCGCATTTCATGCGTCCAGCCACTCACTTGCTTCTTGCTTTTGCAGCTGCCAACGACAGACCGACATACTTCCCTCAGCTCCTCGCATTTGTTTCGCAAAAAGCGCTTTGCATAAATTTCACTTTATTTCGATTTAGTTATTTTCCAACTCACAACGGCAGTGTTTGGCACACTTGCAGCTAGGGAGGAGTCCACTGCGTAGCTCAGCTGTTGTAGCTAATGAACGGGATTTGTATTGTACATAGTCGGGGACAAGCTGGATTGAAAATGGCGAACGAGGGAGGGGCGCAAGCGAAGGTCGTATAAATAAAATAAATAAGATAAGCAGCCAAAGCACTGCAGCAATTTCTTTGTTGGAACGCAAGCTAATGGGGGTAATTTTTCACCGCTCAATTGTTGTTGAGACCGCCGATGAGGAGTCTATGGGGAAGATTCGACTTTAATGCTGTTGCGTCTTGCGCACTTGGTTGGAAATTATTATTCAAATTGCTGTTTTACGTGATTGGAAGGGGGCGGGGTCGATGTTTAAACTTTTTATCGGTGAATGTAGATAAAAATTGTTCTGTTGCTTTTGTTAGAAATTTAAGAAACCTACTATGTATGTATGTAGTAACGAAATTGAGTTAGCATCTTTTCGAAGATAAATTCGGATCTTCAAAAAATTTTACTGTTAAAATTTTGTGCATGAAAACCGCTGGAAAGGCATAGCCACATAAGAAAAAAACGAATTTTTTGGGTTGTTTCTAGACTTTCTTCAGGGATTTTTTTTTGGAAGCTTCAATATATTTTTCGCCTCTATGAATTTTTTTCTGGTACTTTTTGGGTATCGTGTATTTTTTTGTTTGGCAAGAAAAACTGATATTTTTGGATTCAATATAAAATTAATAGATTCGTAAATTCTTTGCGGGTTTTCGCAATTTTTTCGGTTCTTTTTGAGGTTTTCGGAACTCTCTGAGATTTTCCCAGATTTTTGCTTTGCGGATTTTCCAGATTTTTTTGGTTCTTTATGAGATTAACTTTCTGAGGTTTTTTTCGGAATGATTTTAGAGTTTTCGCATTTTACTAGGGACTTTTCGAGACGTTCGGGCTTTTTGTGTATGTAGGTCCATTAATTTTTATAGATTGTTTTTACCTATCGCGTTTTATTCTTGAATTGCCGGGATTTTTTTTTGGGAAATTCCGGAATTTTCACAAGCTCTTATTTAACTTCCTCTGTATGCATGTATGTACACTAGGCGACGAATGAATGTACACTTTCACTTGTTCTAATATAATATTCGCAATTATTTTCATGAAAAATTGTTTGTATTATTTGTTTATGAAAATATAGGTAATTCTATAATGCAAACCATACAAATCAAAGTTTCACACTTTATATAAAGTTCACAAAAATTGTAAAAAAAATTTCATCAAAATTTTCAACTTTTTAGTCAGAATTTCTAAAAAAATTTGGAGTATGCAGTTTTTTAGCCAAATTTTAATCAAATGAAGTGCAAGTTTCAACCGGCTAGAAAATCGCGTTGGTTTTTGAGATTTTTTTTGTAGACGGCTATAAAACTGCATACTCGAAAGTTCCGATTTGCTTATGAACGTATATTACATAAGCACATGAAAAGGATTAACTTCACTAAAAATTCTGCCGATAGGTGGCGCACAAGTTGATGGAAGTATTTAGCAAACCACTATTTATGGTCCGATTTCGTTCTTGTTTAGAAAGCTTGCTTTAAAAATATTTGTTTTTACCATTAACTTATTCCGTTTATAATTAAGGAGTTTTCCGAAAAAAAGTGGACGATACAGAGGTTTGTGCTCAGGCAGAATTCAAGAAGCATATTTTTCATTACCATCCTAGATATTCTATTAACAAAATCTGACTATTCCGGATCTTTAAGATGATTTACTCATTGCAACATTCCACGTTTAGTGAGTAAACCAATATTGAGCCTAAAAGTATGCACCACACTAAAGCTGCAGAAACATGTAAGTACTTCTCAAACGGAATTGCAATGTTTATTTAAAGGCAAAAACCGCAACCTAGAATGGGATCATTAAAAATCAGACGACTGAAGACGAAATCCATTCCGGGTAAGACATAAACTAATTAGGTCAGTGGATTTTATTTCCGCTAGGATGATCTGTGTAGAATTTTCTGATATTTGGGATCAAACTAAGAGACGTCCCTTCTTATGCTTTAAAATCGCATGTAAGGCAACCCTTTTTTTCACTTTCGTTTTTTTCTTTAGATCATAGATGGAGGGCCCTATTTTTGTCACTTTAAATAACATTTAGAGCGCTTAACAAAAACAAAATACTAGTTTTTAGTGGTTCAAGTCCCTCCTAATTGCCATAAAAGTTTATACAAAGAAAAATCTACCTACAAGAGGGCAACATATGAAATTTTTGGCACCAATGCATTTCAAATAAAGATATTCTATACACTTGTACTCACCTGCACGACTTCTGCATGACTTCCGCGCGATTGTAGCCACTAATTTTGCAAAAGGACTCATTGCAATAGACAATCGGAAAATCCACAATCTGTGCGTTGGCAAGTAGAAATGAGCTGTCCGCTGAAAGGAATAAACAGAAAATAAAAAATTAAAAAACTGTGATAAAAAATCGTAGGCGGAAAGATTTTTTCCCTGAATCAAAAGACGATTTATTTGACGTACATTGAAGTCAGCACTTCAAAAGCTGATACAAAATATGGAGCGTATGGGCGTTTGCGTGAGAAAATACAATTTAAATATTTTATAAAGTTAATAGAAAAATGTCCATATGTTCGATTCAAACCAAAACAATAATGCACATTAAAATACTTTGCCACGCATTTCGAATAATAAACCTTTTTTTTTGGTTTCTCATACCTTCGAACGAGTATTGTGCACCATGGCGTATGAGTAATAATCTCTTGACTGCCCTTTTAGCAATACTGAGTTAATTTAAATTTCGCAGGGCTCTGTGATTAACTTGGCTCAATTCAATGATCGGGGTTTTCCTTCCTTTTTATGTTACTTCTGCTCCTCTTCCGCCTTTACCCTTCCTAAGCTAAGTCTATGCCTACATCTAAGCCACAGCGCGCTATAAATCTTAAAGCTTCCTAATCACTTTTTGCCGTCTTCTAATCCACCACTCACTTGCGCTTAGCCTTAGGTTACTAATACCGCTGGCTATACCGGAGATAAATGCATTTATCCTTCCGCTGAACAAATACACCCACAAGCGCAGTTCCAATTGCAAAGCAGCTGCGATTTGCAACATTTTCGCGCAAAGGCGATTGCTTATCGTCAGCCTTACTTTTTTTTTGTTTTTTTACTCGAACAAAGTGTTGACTTTTATTTACAAGCCGTAATACTACTATCGTTTGGAGCATGAGTGGATATGTAGTCTATGTGTGCTTATGGTAGTTAATGGCGTTCAGAGTCATTTCAACTGTCGATTTATTTGAATGTGTTTGCATGTGGATAAGCGATAAGACCCAAAACGATTTATGTGCAATGCAATAAAAATGAACATAAACAAGACGAGAAACGCAGAGCGCAGCAAGTAACCCCTTTGCGAAGACTCTAAAGCCAAGAGGAGTAGTGTACTTGTACATTACCGTAAGCTTACTAAGGGGACGTTAAGTGTTTTGCTTGCCGCAGCAGTTTCACTTTCAGCAACATTCAAAACGACAGCGCGGTTATAGTACTTTTATGGCCCGCACTCATACATATATGCAAATACAGTCAGCGTCAAAAATTTGCATATCCTGATGTTTTGACGATTTTATTTATTTATATTTTCTATTTAAAAAATTTCTTATTGTTTTTTTTTTAATATTGTTGATTTAACAGCAAAAACCACGAGAATATTTCTTTTTAATTGCATACGGATCTCGGGAAAATTCAAGAAATACCAATACATTTTTAACGAACTTTTTTTTTATTTTTTTGAGTATGCCCATTAAATTTAAATTTAAATAAAGTGCAAGTTTCAAGTCGCGTTTTCGTACCTTCTTTCACATAGAAAACGATTTTGTTAATGCGTTATATGGAAGCAAATGTGCAACACCCTCGGCAAATGGCCTACAAACTGCAAACTCAAAATTTTTCTAAGAAATCGAATTGAAATTTTAGTCATACTTGGTTTTGCATTTTACCGAGTTCTGTAAGATATTAAAAAAAAATCGATTCTTGTGGTTTTTGCTGTTCAAGTAACTATATTTAAAAAAAAAAAAAACAAATAAGAAAAATTTGATATAAAAAATACGGGGTATGCATATTTTTGACGCTAACTGTATATGTTGTGTATGAATGTTTATAGCATTTACGCGCATTATTTTTTACAGTTATGGGAACTTCATTTTATATGCGACGCTGCACGACATTGAAACTTTAAAATCCCACACCCCCACTGCGCTTCGGCAAAACACGAGAAAAAGACAAAAATATATTAAAAAAAAATACTTACACTTTCAGCTAAGCACACATACGCACATTATTATGTATACTGTCGGCAGTTAATTCAGAGACACAAACACAATGGGCAAGGCAAAAAGAAACAGTTGCGGGTTTTTTTAGTTTTTTTTTTTTAACATTTTTATGCAAATTTTTTAAGTTTATACCGTTTTGTAATTTGAGGGGATTTAAAAAAAAAAAATCTTTAAGAGACTATTTTTATTCTTAAAAAACTCCATTTTTGGAGGTATTTTCAAATCGGTCCAGCTCACGTAAATCTTAATACTTTTCCGAAATATTTTGGTGGACGTCTTAAAATATAATAGATTTTATAATTCCAATGGGGACACAGTACAGATTTTTTTTTGTATGCAGTCTAATGTACAGAAGTATTAGGGTAATTTACTCGGTTTTTGCAAACCGGTTTCCACCGTTTTTTTTTTTTTTTTGATATCTATAAAGGGTTTTTTTGAAATCTTTGTCGAACATCGAATTAACCAAATTTTTTTATCGAAAAAAAATCCGGTTTTTTTCATTTCATAGTAATCTTGACCTCTCAATGAAAGTTTCGATTTTTTTTGACGTTTTCAAGAATTTTTTCCAGTTTAAGGGAAACCTCTAAATAGTTTTAAAATTATATCCTACGTTATTTTGGGATAAACAGTATCGCATATTTGATTCCAATAAGCGTAAACTTTTTCGACGGGTTTGGCCCAGTTCACAGTTGGACACTCGTGTTCTGTGTGTTGATGTGGTGAGACAAATGAAGAGATCTACGCTTTTACTCCACCTCCGAAAAGATCTTTTATAGCAGAAACGCACTCGTAGGGTTGCCATTGTCTGCCGAAATAAAAAAGTCCATTACAACAATAAAAACGATTTCAACGACCTCTTTTCGCAGCGTTTATGGCTTTAAAGTTTATTGCTTTAGTGCGCCATTTTAGCTATCATAAACATTACTTTAGCTGTATTAACGAGATGCCAGCAGTCAACGTAATTTATTCGCTATTAAAAGCCAGAACATAAAAAGTGGAGTAAAATATGTAGCACAACAAATTTAAGTAACGTAAGAAGGTTATTACTTGCTGTTTTTTATGAAATTTAAGACAATTCTTCCCAAGTAATAAAGCCATTTGTTCGTGGAAAAAATATTTTCGCTTGAATTTTAAAGATGTAATTCTCTTTAACTGACAAAGCGTTGCTAAAATGTTTTGAGATTTTTTACTTTTCGATCCCTTTTTTGTGAATTGTTATTCAAAAGGCTTGTTCCATGTATTGAACTTAAGTATTTAGTATTAAAACTTAAGATTTCTGTAAAACCAATATCAACTTTTTTCGCCTTTTTGACTGCTTTTGTCTATATTTTTGTATAAACTGAAAATAAAATTTCTATGTTAGCGATATACTGCCTAATTACGCGATCATTTTATATGATTTAGGACCGTTTTCTCGAGTGGCTGCAAAAAATTGCCGGCCGGTCTGGTTTATCGACTTTTTATCGATTGCCTATTATAAGCATGTGAGCGACAAATTTTTTTTAAAGCACCGGTTATCTTTAACAGGCAGTCTACAAGACGGCCCTTGGATTTCAAAAAACCGGATTTGAGCTACAGTAGGTCATAGGGGTATTTTCTTTTAAATTTTTTTATACATTTGAAATAAATGCAACAATTTTATTGAGCATGAGGCCGTTTCTAATGAAAAAATGTTATCATCGCCACACCTCCTCCTCAGCTTTTTTCATCGAGTTCACTAGATTTTTATATAAAATTAAATTCAAAACCCTTTTTCGTGACATACATACAAATAGATATACTTCCAAAGGATGCATATAGGTGCGTGCCTGCTGCTATGAGTGCTTGTGTGTTTTTCCACTACAACTTTAATTATACTTTTTATGAGCCACTAAGCACTTTGAGCGCGACACTTTAGGCTTTGTTAACTGATACTCGTATGAGCAAACAAATACATAACCTACACTCCCACCAGTCACACACATACACATTCTCGCTTACATAGTAAGTACCCTGCAGGAAATGTAACTAACTATAAGCTAACTTGAAGTTGATTAGGAAGGAGCCAAAAGTCACTAATTTATTTATTTATAAAATTAATTATAATAAAGTGAAAAAATATTATAACTAATTAAAAATTATTGAGTACTGACTACTGAGGCCTTCGACTCTAGAGTTACTTAATTTAAAAGGTTAACTTTAGTTCATATGCTTAAATATATGGGCTTGTAACTAACGACTTTTGGACATAAAATATCAATAGGAAAAACAAAATATTTTTTTTTATTTTTATTTATTTTATTACATTTCATATTTGTTTCCATATTCTGCTGTAGTTGGTCCCGTCAGACATAACTTCAAAATGATAATATAAAATATCGATCTTCCTTTTATTTGTCCTCAATTCGAAAAAGTATTTGCGAAGTGCAGGATATTTAAATAGAAACGCGTTTAAAGAAAACAATCTCCTTCATTACTCCTGCATTATTTGTCAACTAGTTTCAATATATTTTATAGAAATCCCTTACTATAAGAGGATTATTTTTTATCAATTGATAATTTTTTTCTGCAGGGTATGTTTGTATTTGGCTATTGTTTGTGTGCTTTTGAGCGCAAGTGACACAACTAAATTACAAAAGCAAACACTTTCAAAAATCAGCAGAGTGCAAAGTGCTTTGATAAACGCCAGCTCGAGTGTGATTGTAAATTTATGAGCAGATATGTATGTAATATTAAATGGTGTATGTGCGCACGTATGTTTGAAGTGTGTATGTGGGAAAAAGGCAAACAAATTAAATTTACATAATTAAGTGTCGACATATATTTTTTTTTTGCTATATTTTGCTTAGAGGCGCTGACACGAGCAGAATTTTAAAATAAACACTGTGCACACAGATACATGCGTACGTATGTACATACGCATGCAAATAATATACACGCATATGTAAGTAAGTACATAGGGTGGTGCAAAAAATGGCAAAGTCGGAATTTTAATTCTCTCACCCCAAAGGATTGCTCTATACCAAAATAAAGTATAAGTACCCCTCAAATGGGTACCCCATTGCATTTTTTGAAGTTTTTAGAAGTCCTATAAAATATAGTTAGTAGTAG